GTCCACATCTGTGAACCCTCCAGCTCTGCACAGGACCACAGAGCGGGGAGGGGGAGGGGAGGTGACTTCTTAGCTCTCTTCTTTGGGGCTGTGTTTTTTTTTTCATTGCTTTGTGAATGTTCTTCCCCTTTTCCTCCTCACTGTCATCCAGCTGCTGTTTTCTTGGTTCCATCCATCCGAACCCTTTGGAAGGCTATGACTGTCTTTTCCTCCAGGGTCTCTTAGAAAGTGATTGGAGCAGGCCAGCCCTTTGGTGCGGTCTCCATCCTCTGTCCGCACTGGCGCTTCTGGAGGGAGCGTCTGCAGGAACAGACCCTGCCCCGGCTTCCCTGGCCTGGTCTCCTTTTCCCAGTGCTGGCCCTATAGCGACCTGGGCTTTTGTGGCACAAAGGCTGCATTCTCCTCGCATGCACGTCTCCCCTTCCAGTGACCCCTTCCTAGCAGCTCTAACAGGAAGCAATCTGGCCGTCCTGGTGGTCACCTGATGGGGGTGCGCGCCCACGTGTCCAGCTGCCACGGGATCTTCCTTTATTCCATGTTCTTTCTGAGTGGAACAGCTTTGTCCAGGAGCTCCCAGACAAATCTAACATGTGCTATCAAGCAGGCCTGTAGCCCCTAGGCCCCCTACAGGCCCCAAAGCTGGTCCTCTGGAGGCTTCCCATCAACTTACCCCTCTTTTCTAGGTCAGAGACCTTAATGCAGCAGTTCTCAAATGTTTGGGTCTAAGGATCCCTTTACACTCCTAAAAATCATTAAGGCCATGGGTTAGCCAGGTGGCACAGTGGATAGAATGTTGGCCTTGAAGTCAGGAGGACCTGAGTTCAAATCCAGACTCAGGCACTTATTAGCTATGTGACCCTGGCTAAGTCACTTAGCCCTGAATGCCTCCAAAAAGAAAGCCATTGAGGACCCCAAGAAGCTTTTGGTTTATGGGGGTGATATCTATCCACATTCCAGTTATCAGTCATTTTCCAGTCATATCTGACTCTTCATGACCCCATTTGGAGTCTTCTAAACAAAGATACTAAAGTGTTTGCCATTTCCTTCTCCAGCTCATTTTACAGATGAGGAGACTGAGGCAAACAGGGTGAAGTGACTTGCACAGGGTCACACATCTAATAAGTGTCTGAGGCTGGGTTTGAACTCATGAAGAGAAATCTTGATTCCAAGCCTAGCATTCCGTGCATTATGGCACCCCCTAGCTGCCTCCTATCCATATTTACCATATTAGAAGTTAAAGCATAACATTTAAAGTATTTATTTATTCATTTAAAAATAACAATAACAAACCCATTAGATGGTAATATAAATAACATTTTTAGTGAAAATTTAGTAAAAAATTTTAGTAAATTTTTAGAATTTTTTAGAATAGAAAATTAGTAAAAAATTTTTAGTGAAAAGTATATCTTCCCAAGCCAAAAAAATTGGTGAGAAAATGGCATTATTTTACATAGTTTTGCAAATATCTTTACTATATCTAAATAGAAGGTAGCCGTGTTCCTGTCTGCTTCTATATTCAATGGGTTGCAAATTGTTGTTTTGTTTGAAGTATATGTAAAACCCAACCTTCCACAGATAAGTAGTTGGAAAAGGGAGGCAAAATAATTTAATAGGCAAATAATGTCAGTATCATTATGAAAATAGCTTTGCCCTCACGGCCCCCCAGGAGGGGTCTCAGGGATCTCTGAGGGGCCTGTGGACCGCATTGTGAGAACCACTGCTGTAAAGCGATGGACACTGGGGCAATCCAAACTTCCCAAGGGTACTCTTAAGAAGAGTTTCCCAGATTAGCCCTTCTGCTATGAAATATTAAACCGTGGCCTTGTCACAGTCGGCATTTATTGGGTGCAAAGGAACTGGCTTGGGCCTAAGGCCTAGGGAGGCTGGACGTGTAGGAGGCCTAGGAGTGAGCCATCCCTCTCTGATGTAGTGCACCCAGCGTTGGCCCTTGACCTCCCCTTTTTTCAGATTGAGGCCTTTGATTTTTTTCTTAATTAATTTATTTTTAATTTTCAACATTCATTTCCATATGCTTTTGAGTTTTAAATTTTCTCCCCCTCCCTCCCCACCTCCTTCTCCTAGATGGTGTGCAATCTGATATAGGCTCTACATGTACATTCCTATTAAACATATTTTCACATTAGTCATGTTGTAAGGAAGAATTAGAACCAATAGGAGGAACCACCAGAAAGAGGAAACAAAACACAACAGAAGGAAAAAAAGAGCAAACAGTCTGCTTCCATCTGCATTCAGACTCCATAGTTCTTTCTTTGGGTGTGGATCTCATTTTCCATCACGAGGCCTCTGGAAATGTCTTAGATCCTTGTATTGCTGGGAGGGGTTAAGTCTATTAAAGTTAGTCATCACACAACGTGGCTGTTACAACGTTCTCATGGTTCTGCTCACTTCACTCAGCATCAGACCATACAAGTCTTTCCAGGTTTTTCTGAAGTCTTCCTGCTCATCATTTCTTATAGCACAGTAGTATTCTATTACATTTATACCACAACTTGTTCAGCCATTCCCCAACTGATGACCATCCTCTCAATTTCCAGTTCTTTGTCACCACAGAGAGAGCTGCTATAAATATTTTTGTACATGTGGGTCCTTTTCTCATTTGTATGATCTCTTTGGGATACAGCCCTAGAAGTGCTATTGCTGGGTCAAAGGGTATGCATATTTTTGTAGCCCTTTGGGCATAGTTCCAAACTACTCTCCAAAATGGTTGGATCAGTTCACAGCTCCACCAACAATGTATCAGTGTTCCAATTTTCCCACATCTTCTCCAACATTTATCATTTTCCTGTTTTGTCATGTTGACCAATCTGATGGGTGTGAGGTGGTACCTTAGAGTTGTTTTGATATGCATTTCTCTAATCAATAGTGATTTAGAGCATTTTTTATATGACTATTGATAGCTTTATTTTCTTCATCTGAAAACTGCCTTTGGCCCTTTCTCCTCCAAATATTCTTTACGGTCTGTCAGGTTCTCTTTGTTTACTAAGGCTTCTGTTCTCTTGGCCAAGTCCTTTTCTCCTGAAGGGGATGTGTAGTCCTGAACTCAAATACTGTCTCCTACTCTCTACACCTGGTGTTTTTCAATTATTCAATCAATTGCTAAGTTGCGTGAATGATCCTTAGTCCTCACCCTGCTATCAGTTACTCTGAAATCTCCTAATTCCTTGACATTTCCTTTTAATGTCTTTACTTTTAATCTCTGCATCTACTCCTAAAATCAGATGACACCTATCAATTTCCAGATCATCAAACTCTTCAAGTAGCTTAGACCCACATGCATGGCCAGGGAATTCATGGACCCAGCACCACCCACTTTCCCACGGTCTTGTCTCTGTCTCTGTCTGGTGCTGCTGCTTTCTTCCTTCCCTGCTGCTTACTCACTTCCCAATCAATGTATTGATTCCTGATGACTCTATTCCACAAACTTACTGGGTATGACACTCTACAATGATGTGCCAAGATGAGACAATAGAGTAATGCCAATAGCTGTTGGCATGTGGTGGAGCCAATAAACAAAATAAGGCATACTGGGGCTTCCCTCAGGACAGGGAGGCTCCATTGTTAGTCACAGTTTGACTTTAGTACATGACAGGGTTAGGGCAGCTCTCCAGGGGACCAAGCAAAGGAACACTGGGGGATTTCCTACCCACCAGCAGGGATTGGCCTCTGGTTTCCTGTTTTACTTGAGCATCACAGCCACCATATGAAGTCAATGCTCAAGCCACTCTTATTCCCATTTTATGGATGAGAAAACTGGGGCTCAGAGAAGTTAAACCACTTGCTCATTGTCATATGGTTAGTAAATGCTAGAGATAGATAGCTATCTAGATAGAAAGAGAAAGATGGACAGACACATAGATGATAGATGGATGGATAGATAGCTGTTTAGATAGATGGATGGATGGATGGATGGATGGATGGATGGATGGATGGATGGATTGGCAGATAGATGATGGATGGATAGATGGATACTTAGATAGATAGATGGATGGATGGATGGATAGATGATGAATCGATGAACAGACAGAGATATTTAGATGGATGGATAAATAGTTGGATGGATAGCTAGATGGAGAGATAGATGAATAACTGGATGGATGGAGGAAGGATGGATGGGTGGATATCTAGATAGATAGACGGATATCTAGATGGATGGATAGACAGATGACAGGTGGATGGATAGAGGGATACATAGATGGATAGGTAGATATTTAGATGGATGGATATTTAGATAGGTAGATGGATGGATAGATAGGCGGATAAGTGGAGGAAGGATGGATGGGTGAATGTCTAGATAGCTGGTAGATGGATAATGGATGGACAGACAGATAGACAGATAGGCAGTTATCTAGATAGCTAGGTGGATGGATAGATGAAGGAATGAATAACTAGAT